AATGGTATACCATTTCATTGTGGGCTTTTTTGTCATAGAAAACAATGTACAAAATAAAGAAATAGTAAATTAAAAGAATGCTGTGAATTCTTTTAATATGTGAAATATGTCCAACACTGGAAGTTTTAAAGAAGATGTTGGATAACCATTTGTCTGAAATGGTTTAGGGTTTCCTGCCTAGGCAGGGGGTTGGACTAAAAGACCTCCAAGGTCCCTTCCAACTCTGTTATTCTATTCTATTCTAAATAGGTATGCTTCATTTATTTAAGATAGAATTGATAACTATCTCTATTCTTTAGAACTGCAAGAACCACCTTTCATGTATAAGCATTTTAGCTGTGGTGGCATAGTGGTCAGAATGCAGTATTTCAGACTAACTCTATTCTACTCACTGCCAGGAGTTTGATTCTGACCAACTCAAGGTTAACTTAGCCTTCGATCCTTCCAAGGTCAGTAGAATGAAAACCCAGAATATGTGGATTCTGAAAACCACTCAGGGAGTACTGTAAAGTACTATGAAGTGGTATATAATTGTAGGTACTATTGCTATTGTTTTTTATTATATTGTAACTGCCAAAGAGAAAGGCAGAAGCTATTACATTATGTCTAGCTCTGAAGAATTCTTTCCTTACCCTGGGAAGAGTTAACCTGCTCAGATAGCTTGCAAGTTTGCAGATATTCATGGCAATGAGAATTTTGGAGCTCTGTGTTAGGAAGCAAATTTTGTTTATAATTCTTCAATTCTATATCTCCAGCGTTTGATATATTTGCCATATATTGGTTTGAATGTATACAACAGAGATTGGCTCTTCTTTAGATGGGCCAATGGTGACTTATTTTCTACTGTCAAGGCCTATGAAAAGCACATTGAAATGTGAACTGGTATATGAATGATTACTATAACAAATCAAACAAGCAATACAAGTCAGTGATAATTCATTACTCTATTGTAACATAATAGCATGAGTTTGGGTGAATTTAATTAAACTTGACAGTTATCAATTCTATCCTGTCTACTGTATTCTGAAGCATTTAAGTAAAAAAGCAAACATATAGAACTTAAAAATATATGTGAAAGCGTCTTGAGCTTTATAAATTGATGTAACAAATTTAACATGGTGTATTTAAAATACTAGATGTTATCTCTCATTAAACTGGCCACACATCACTTAACCCAAAGACTTCGCCAAAAGTAAAGTACTGCCATTTCTGGGCAGATTATTCAGCTGTACTGTCATTTGATGTGCCATTAGGCTAAATGGGTTCTCTGGGAGATCAACCCAATGTAATACATTTCATGATTAAGCACAACTAGAGAATATTCCATATTTTCATACAACTTGCAAAGCTTCTAGTCATTTAAAATCCTCCTATTCCATCTGTTTGGTTATCAGGCCAAGCTGGAATCCTGGAAGTATCACCCTAATCCTAATAAGCTAAATTGTTAGCTGGGCTTCTCTTCTGGGGAGCAATGGGGCACGCCAAAAACATGTAAAACAGTATGCTTCTGTGTAATGAGATAACTTAAAAAATGAACATCTCATGCCATGTCTTCTATTTGGGCTGATTAACCTTCTCAGACCTCTGGGAGTAAAATATATAATACATAGTATAATCATCTTCTCCTTGATTGACACTCTTGTTTCATAATGTACATTTATAAAATGTTATTTATATGTTTATCATTGTTAAATTATTTTTGCTGTTTGATATATGTCTTTGTCAGGGATGGGCCAACAAATTATTTCTTTTACCTGCTTTGCCACCTAGCTTGTGTTTTTCTTTGACAGAAAAATGCAAATCACAGTTTTACAATTCAGCTGCATTAATCTTCTTAGGCTTGCCACAATACAAGAGATATAGAAAAGGAGATATGTACATGTTATCTTTAGATTTGCTTTCATATTTCCACATCAATTCTAATTTAATCAAAATTGCAAAGGTATTATATGATATGTGGTCAATTATGTCATGTGTTTCAGTAGTTCCAGAAATATCAGGCCTACATGAATCTCCTATTCGGCCATCTGATCAAAGGACTTCAGAAATTAACTGCTCTTTTCTTGAAAAGGCTAACAACTCAAAACAATATGCATTTTTTTAAAAAAGAAAATCCATTACTATTGTCTTCCATAGAATCATAGGTTTAAAATCTATGGGGATCTTCTAACTCAGGAGTGCCAAACTGGATTTCTTCGATGGTTGGATCAGTATTGCAGTTCTCCTCCACGGGCCCGTAGTGAAGGGGACGGACACTTCCTACAGCACTTTACCAACCAAAATAGGGCATGTAGAGGCCACGGATGCCCCCATCTCATTTTTGTCCCCCATGGTCTCCTGCAGCACTCTGCTGCCCAAAAATGGGCCATGTAGAGGCCCCTTGAGGTCCCCAGTAGTCCATTTTTGGCATTCCTGGCCTTCAGCAGCATTCTGTCGGCCAAAAACAGGCCACGTTGAAGCCCTATTAGGTTTCAATGTGGCTTGTTTTTGCCTGGCTGTCATAGAATGCTGCAAGAGACTGTGGAGGCTGAAAATGGGCCACTGGGGAGGGCTGCACACTGCTCCCCTGTGGCCCATTTTGGCTGGCAGAGGCACCTCAGGCCAGTACTTTGGTATTTCCAGGCCAGTCCCATGGGCCGGATTTAAGCACCCTGTTGGGTGGATCTGGCTTGCAAGCCTGCAGTTTGACACTCTTGTTCTGGTTCAACTCCATGCCCAAAGCAGGAGTTTTCATGCCATCCTGAACAAATGGTTATCCAATCTTTTCTTAACACATACACATCTGCAAAAGGTTACACTCCACTGCTTTTTATACAAAATGCATTTTAAAAGAGTACAACTTCAGTTTACAGTCAGTTTCATCATCTTGACTTTTGATTCCTTCTGATAGATGCCAGTATTTCCAAATACATGAAATTATTGTAGATTTTAAGTGAATTCACTGAAACCGACCAGAAATCATGAATAAAGTCTCACTGATTTTAATAACTTTATTCTAAGGTTTACAAATGTAGAATGAAAGTCTTACTATCCATAAAACATCAGATTTAAAAAAATCATAGCAACCAATATTATTATAATGGATGTTATTCCACAAAATTGGTGAATATAAAATCTACAGTACAATTATGAACTTATTAATTAAAAATATTTGTACAGAGATCATGAGACATATTTGGGGATGGTAAAGATGGAAGACAGAAAAGTAGCACTCTAAAGATGCATTTACTTAGTAACTAGAATCTTTCATAGTATATTTCAAATATATTTACACACAGCATGCACATACACGGAGAGAGACAATACTAGA